AGTGCCCTCTAGGGAGTGGGCGCCGGAGCGCGTGTTGACAGGCTGGTCCGCGAAAGTATCATTGAAGTTGGAAAGTTTGTGGCACTACGGCTGGCTGTTTGCCTGTAATGCGATAATAATGAGCTGGAAAGTGGCAGTATTGACGACAAAGTATCGCAAGGAAGGTCCTATGGAGCATGTCAGACGGCTTTAAGAGTCATAATTGGGAGAGCCTTAAACATAGACTTACATGAGTTAATGTTCGTTATGATACACATCAACAACCCTCTCGTATCACGAATTTAATAGTTCAAAGCATGCTGGTTTCGGTCCGCTGGGGTGAGGACCATCCACTTTATCAACACGCTCTCTTGCTCTGAATAAACCCTTCAGCACTCTTCGCTTTTAATTGTTTCAGCTGTTACGAGTTTATTCTTAAACAATGAAGAAGCAGACATTGAAGAAATCTTGCCCCACAAAACCCCTTTCGACGACGCTTGACCAACGGATGGTCCTCGAAAGAGAGCAGATGTGGCCAAGGCGATCAAGAAATTTCACCATGGTTCAAAGTCTTTGCTTTTGAGCAGCGCTTTCCAACACTTGAACAGCCCAAGTGTCACTTGCCACACCATCTCCAGGGACTATACAGAGCTGCCATATAAAGTCGAGCTAGAAGGCCGTGTGGTTTCCATAAAACAGAATTATATCCTGCTTGATTCCACAAGGAAGTTTTTTGTCAGAGACACATCAGAGCAAAATGACCGCAGCACCGGAGGATAAAACCACACATGTGGTACCCGATAGTCTCTTCGACCCCCATCGAGGCCGAACGTACAAGCGTGGGCGCTTCTTTGGCAAGGGCGGCTTTGCCCGCTGCTACGAAATCATCGATGTGCACACCGACGATGTGTTCGCCTGCAAAATCGTGTCGAAGAAGCTGATAATGAAGCCCAGCCAGGAGGAGGAAACTGCCGAACCGGAGGAGATCGCTGTGGAGATTAGCATTCATCGTGGCCTGAATCATCGCAGCATTGTGAAGTTCTTTAGCTGCTTCGATGACATCGACAACACCTACATTGTCCTGGAGCTGTGCCGCAAGCGGTCGATGTCGGAGCTGCAGAGGCGCCGCAAGATCATCACGGAGTTCGAGTGCCGCTACTACATTACCCAGATCATTGAGGGCGTCCAGTACCTGCACAACAACCGCATTATCCATCGCGACTTGAAGCTGGCCAACCTCTTCCTGAACGACATGCTGCACGTGAAGATCGGCGACTTTGGCCTTGCCACACGCATCGAGTTCGAGGGCGACCGCCGGTACTCTGTGTGCGGCAGCCCCAACTACATTGCCCCCGAGATCCTCACCAAGAAGGGGCATTCGTTCGAGGCGGACATTTGGTCGATCGGCTGCGTCATGTACACGCTGCTGGCGGGCCGGCCACCATTCCACCACAAAACCCGGGAGGGGATCTTTTCGAATATCAAGAAGGGCCAGTACAGCGTGCCCAGCTGGCTGACAATATCCGCTGCGGATATGCTGGTCTCCATGCTCCAGCTGGACCCCGAGCGCCGCCCGGCCATCGGTCAGCTGCTGAACTGCAGCTTCCTGAAGGCCGCAAAGGTGCCACAGTTCTTGCCCAGCTTTTGCCTAACGATGGCTCCGCGCATTGGCAACGGCATGGGCATCAGCGACCCCGCTAAAGAGTCTATACAACGCCGTCCGCTGATGGTGTTGAACGGCCTTAGGGATGATAACCGCAACGATGCCTCGGCCCAGGCCCAGGCCCAGGCCCAGGCCCAGGCTCAGGTGTGCCGCTACAACGACAGCTTTGATACTCTGATCGAAAATCAGGGAGATGGGAATACTGGGCAGGAATTTGTATCAAATAATACCCTATGCCCGCGAAAAACTTAGGAAACGGGCTGGAGAGGACCCCCACCACATTAATCTGTTTCCAAGCCAAGGATTTGCCAAGGCCTTTGATTGAAATTTTTTGTTTGTTTCCCGTTGAACGTATATCTGTTCAATGTTTTTCATACACGAATATCCGAGGAAATTATTAATAAATGGAGGCACTAAAATTTGTTTACCACAACAGAGGTATTTCCTGTCAAGCAGCGGGAACTCAGAGGACGGTCCAGCCAGAAACCCTAAGGAATAGACAAAATAACACAACAACCTTTGACTTTTGAGACTTTTCTAGACATCATAACCGTCTTTGGAGGGCTGATCCATAGGTAATCTACCCATTCTTCCTCTTCAGATCCCAGTGTTTCTATTGGGGGTTTCTGTAAATATTTACCATGCACTAGCCTTTAGATCCTTTAGATACCTACCAATTCGATGTCAAAGTCCAATTCTCTATAAAAAGCGACCGCTTTTTCCCGCCTAGAAATTACACACTTAATGCCGTTTCGCTTGGCGGCCTACCCCAATAGAACACACCATATCTTGAGGCCTAAATCCTCTCCATGCTGACCACTCTCTCCCCATCTCTGTCTTGTCGCTTCTCCATTCATCTCTCTGTCTCTTTCTTTACTTATGGCCAGGGCATAAATTGTCTGGACATTTTCTAGACATCATAATATAGGGGCCATAATAAATATACCAACAAAAAAACAAACAAACGAAAATCAAAATAAGCTTTTTTGTTGGGGAAAAGTGAAAGGTAGGAGGAGAACTTTAAGCTTTTCCCAGAGATAGAGAAAGGAAGAGGGAGAGGGAGTTTGAGAAGGCAGCACAAATGCGATGTAATGAGCATAAAAATGCTAGCAGAACCCACGAAATGGGAGTCTGGGAATAAAGGAGCAAGTGGGTTATTGTTTGGGGGGGGGAGTATGGGGCAGTGGGGGCAGGGGGTGTGGAGTGCCGAGGTGCCAAGACGACCGTAAATCTTTTTGTAGCGCTTTCAAGGTAAAATAACAATTTAAGTTTATTACTGGATAAGAGACGAACCGTAGGAATAAAAAATAAAGAAAAGCAAAAGCAAACACTCCCCCCAGAGGAAAAGACAGAGAAGATGACCACAAAAACAACAATGAGCGGTGGGGCAGTGAAGGAGGGAGTACACACAGACACACTCATATGACAGAGAGCGAAAGAGAGAGGGAGAGTTGTCAGGACAGCCGAAGGATTTCGTTTCTCCTAACTTTTGCTTTTATTTCGAGCACAAAAAAAGTTTTGAAAAACCAAAAAAACAGTTGGGAAGAGGGTACGAGTCTAGGGATACCCTTAAAGATGCCATAGATCATGCGATTACCATATGAATCGACTGGGAGATGTATTTCACCCACTTTACGAGCGTTTAATGGGTTGATGGGATAGATATAGTGGCACTATGCTGAAGATACCAATGATATACTTGAAGGGTGTCCTTTATGTTCGTTACAAACACTTTAGCCAAGTCATTATACCCTCTGGAAGGGTACAAAGTCGTCTAGCAGAAGGCAAAGCAATGATGATGATATAACGAGTGAGCGAGTGAGAGGGGAAGGAAAGTTGAGGAACGTCTCCCATCGCTTCCAGCTTTTATGTAGATTGTCACAGTTGTTGGATAGGTTTTTGCTACAAATCTCTCTCTCTCTTTTTATGGCACCCGAGATACAGAATTAACGGACAAACTACTAAGAACTTTTGGCAATCAGAGGGAATAAGTTTCCTTTTTCCAGAGACTCTTAAAGTACGGCCCGAATCATTCATCCCTGTCTTCTCGCCGTGTAGGTCAAAGACACCTGTGTGCGTGGGCGGGCGGGCGGGTGCGACTCGGCGCCACTTAATGGCCAAAAACAGTTGAAGGAAGTGGCGCTACGGATGCTCCCAGCCACTCTGACAGAGTGCCGGCTGGGCATGGAGCAGGGGCAACACGGGAGAGGGACTCTCTTTCTGACAAATCACAATTCGATTGTCTCTACGTGTCACTTACAGGACCTACAGGACCTCTACAGGGGCTGGCCTGCATTTAGGCAGCAGCAACGTCCTTCCATTATAGAATCAGTGTTCCATCGCGACCCCCCGCCCCGCCCCCCTCGTGTTGGCCCGGCAAACAAAGCAGTTAATGGCTTGCAAGTTGAAACAACTGGCAGCAGGCAGGGGGGCAGGCAGGCAGGCAAGGAGGGAGGACGTGTGTGGGCTACCCTGATTTTTCAGGGCTTTATATCAGTTTTAATGTCCTGGCTTTTGGCCACCGGCTTCGCTGCTTCGCTGCTGCCCTTCCCCCGGTGCGGGTATTCGTGTGGTTTAATTAGCGCTGCCCGTCTGCCCGTCCGCCAGTCAACCATGTGGACAAATTTCGTACATTGGCCACCGTTGAGCATTTAGCCGAGCTTTTCATTTGTCACAGGATCCAGGCGGAGGTCCCTGGCTCTGGCTCTGGCTCTGGCTCTGTTTTGGGTCATGGTTCATTGATTGGCGCTCAAAGGTGTGCAAGCGATTAGGATTCGTGTCCTTCGATATGGAGGGATTACCACCACCCACCACCACCCACCACCTGTTATGTGAAAAGGCTCTCCGTTGCTGCAGATTAAAGGGGAAAATGCTGAAAATGAGAAAGAGAGAGCCAGAGACAGAGACAAAGACAAAGAATAGCTTTTAACAAAATAAATAATAGCCCAGACATTTCAAATGTTGTAACACAAACAATACACCCCCCCACCACCCCCCCGTTCTGCTCCCCATTCAGGTCTAGACGAAAGCTTGCCGGAAAGCTCTCTCCCCTACGCTCTCCTTTCAGCCGCGCTGAATGTGGACTCTAAGCTCGAGGACGTTACTCTTCGGTGGCCAAGCGTTCTCTTAAGCTAAAAGCTTCCCCTCGAAAAGCTTCCACAGGGATGCTGTAATGTGAGGCAGTTCGCTTCTGTGGCCCAGCATCCTCGTGGCTGACGTTTGAAGCTTCGTTCGTGCCACTGCCTCGGCTCGTCTCATGTTGTAGTAGGTTCTGGCCGACTTCGATGGCTGTTGGCCAGTGAAACGGCGTTTCAGTCAAGCTCCAGCATCCGTTCACTGAGGAGCACTTCACAACACGCGCTCTCCGTACAGCTCCACGACGAACGAGCGTCAGCCGCGTCCTCAACGGCGGTCTTCCATCCTTTGGGCCATAGGTGTGTCTGTGTATGTGTGTGTGTGTGCCCGTGTGTGCGTGTGGCCCTAAACCGGTGGCAACTTTAAGACAGCAAAAGAAGGGTCGGTCACGGTTTCGTTTACGGTTACGCTAACGGATTGAATAAACACACGGCCACGGCCGCGGCCGCCACACGGAAGTGCAGAGTGGAAAAAAGTGCAGAGCCCGAAAAGTAAGCTCCACAGAAGAAAATACGACTCGAAAAACTGTGTGAAAAATCCAACATAAACTCTATTAAGTCAGAAATGGAAATTCTTTGGGAAAACCCATCAATTTTTCCCCTGAAAAATGATGAAAAATTCTGGCCAGTTTTGCATACCAAAAATATGCCAAAGCCAAGTAATTGCTCAACAAAAAACTGTTTAAGCCAGGTTGGGAAAATCCTATCACAAGTGATATTGAGAAAAGTTTTCAATATTCCAAAGTTTTTGCTGGACAAAAATCGACGCCGAGTGCCAGAGAGAAATTAATGGATCAATTTCTTGTTTGTTTGGAATTTCCAGAATAAATTTTGAAAGGAAAACTTTATCCGAAAATAGTTATTGATAAATTGTGAACAATTTGTAGAACAAAACACACACTGTTCGCAGTCTCCAGTAGCCAAATAGTTGGCATAGTTTTTGCTCTAAATGCCGTCTCCCCAGTCGAAAAACATATTGGCAACATTTCAAATTTCGGCAAAGTTCTTTTACCTTTGGCCCAGTGCTGGTGGCCGAAACAAACAAACAAACAAACAGACCCGATGGGCCCAAGCAAGAGCAACATTTTGGCCAATAAATCATTGAGGGGGAAACTTGTGAGGAAGACGAAACTTTAACAGGCTGGCCGGCAGTATTTTTCCACTGGGTTTTCGAGGGGAAGGCAAGGAGATTGCCGTAGGAATTAGTTTGGAATATTGTTGGACAACCTGACGTATGAGCAATGTGTTTGTTGAACAACCTGACGTATGAGCAATGTGTTGTCGATTCCAGCTCCGGAGATGAATAATTTTTGTGTGCTCTGGCAAGGAAATTTGTCAGATATTTTGATGGCCGAAAATTGTGGACTTGCAAATCGATTTGAATCGAAGTTTGAAATGACTTTCTTTTGCATTTCCAATTGGATGTTTGGCCAGCCGAGTCCCAGGGGAACCAAATCGATGATAGCGTCCGTCCCCCCCTCTCAAAGCCATCTGGACGGGATATCCTGTGCCCAAGGTCCAAAGTCTTGTGCCTGGGTTTCTGTTTGTTTTCGGTTGAAAATTTTCGTGCGCCGCTCATCAACTTAAATTGTGGGAAATTAATCAAGTTGAAAAGGTTTCCTCTCTCTGGTCTGGCGGCGAAGATGCCACAAAAGATTGGGGCCCCAGGTTATGGCGGGTGTCTGTGTGTGTCTGTGGACTCTGCCTTTTGTTTTCGGTTATTGTTATAGGTCCTGGCTCTGGTCCTGACTCAAGGAACAAGTCAACATGCGAAGGCAGAACGGACCTTTTTTGCTTTGCATTCAAGCGGAAATTAAAGCAAAGAAAAGCCGAAAGCCCCCAGCGTTTTCCCCTCACACTGCAAAAATTGAAATTGTGCTCGCCTTGAGGCCTCGGGGCCACCGAAAAGGGATACGTGTAACATTTCCAGCCGCATCGAAGGACCTTTAAAGCAAGCCTTAAACGCGGCTTTGGCTTGCCCTCTTTTTTCTTTTCTGGGTCAACGCTTGGTTGACATTTTAGCCGCGGAGTAGAGTTCATGGAAAACCCTTTTTTAATTAATACAGTCTGTGTCGCGGCACCCCTTTCGTTCCCCCCCGCCGCCCCCGTGGAAAACCTCATTAAAATGCGTTCGAAAATGAGAACCGCAGACTGTGAACATTTTTGTGTTTGTGCAGCTCTCGGGCCTCGGCTTCGTGGACGTTTTTGGGCTTTAAAATGAAATCATAAAAACGGCAGTTGATGAATTTTTACTATCATTACGATCCATCCCTTCCCCGCTGTCAGCCCAGCCCCCCGTAAGCCCCCCTGTAAGCCCCCTGTGCTCTGTGACCCGCATGGCTCTCAGGTATTTTAATATAATTAAATTAATTAGCCCACTCGCTTTGCCACTCGGAAATATGTCAGCGATTCTGAAAAAGCTAATGAATTATGGGCCAGCATGGGAAACTAATTAGCGATCCGGTGGGTGGGGCGGGGAGGTGGGCTGATGGGGGGACTAATAGAGGGACTATCTGTTTAAACACTGATTAGGGGGCACGAAGACGGGGTTTGCGGAGGATTTTAAGTGCCAAGAATTAGGATTTTATTGCAACAGTTTTTCCAAAGAATTCCAAGATTTCCATTTAATCCAATCATCAATCAAATAGTCTCAAAGGCACTTGAGGGAAAGTCTAGGACTTTCCCGAATTGACAAAGTATTCCCTTTAATCCCCCATCACGTGGACGTTATGCCAGGCCATAAAGAGGCACAAGTGCATGTCATAATTTTCCCAAATAAACCATTTTCCTTAAACATTTTGTGCTGCTGGAAAAACCATCAAAAATAAATGAAGCATAAATGTAAAAAAAAGCCAAGGAAAAGGAGGGTGAAAAGTGATTTAATTTTTGTATAATTTTCTTCTTTTTTTCCAAAACGACATGGGGCGGGGGGGGTTGGCTGGCAAATAGGCTTTTGCGGGGGAGGGGCGGGGGGCATTAGAAACACGAAACGCCATTTGGTGGCAAAAATAACCGGAAGGAATTATAGCAAGCCTCGCTCTCTCTCTCTCTCTCTCTCTCTCGGCCATTTTGCCTCTCTTTCTGGGCTTTTATCTGGCGAAAAAGAGGAAATTAAATGTTTTACTGTCTGCGGTTTGAGATGAGAACACAATTATAATTTCATACAGGCGACAGCAGGATGAAAAATACTTGGAATGAAATCAACGAAAATGGGAAAACATTTTCCTTTTTGCAGCGTGTGTGTGTATGTGTGTGGGTGTGTGTGTGTGTGTGTGCGTTAATGCGGCAGTGTTGCATTTTATGAAGGGAAAAATATGAGAAGTGGAAAGGACTCGATGTTAAGAGGATCAGCAGACCAGGCCGCGCCAGAGAGCGAAATGTGACACAAGTGAGAAAAGAGAGAGAGAGAATGTATGTGTGTGGGCATAGCCATAACCGTAATGCGGAAGCAGGAAAATTAAGTAAAATGCGAAAAGCGGAAGAAACGAAAGAAAAAAAACTGGGAATTAAATTAAAAAGGAAATGAAATGCCCATCAGCTGGAAATGGAGGCGGGGCGGGGGTAAAACCGTCCTCATTTAGTAGAAAAGAAAAACTTTTAAAAGAACTGCAACAACTTTGCGCCACAAAAAAAAAAACTCTTTTTCAACCAACAACAAATGGAAGTTCAATATAAATATTTTTTGGGGCAAACTTTAGCTTTTTACAAAGAAAATTCCTCAGCCCAATCTTTTCATCAATAGATATATATTTATTTGGCTTTTTTCGTCTTCTTTTTTTTCCAGCGACCGGAAATCAACTAAATTGTCGTCACTCCAATCAAGTGGAAATTTGATTAAAACGAAAGGCGAACCCAGAGAAGAGCGAGAGAAAGGAAAAAATTTGAGCGAGAGTCTATGAAAAGGTAGCGGCAGAAAAGGAAATCAACACGCACGCACATGAGCGAGTTTTCCTTTGGAAAACATTAAAAATCGAAATCAGCGAAGCGTAAAACTTTCCACAAAAGCTAGCAAAAAAAAACGTAAAGAATAAAAAACCCATACAAAAGGTGAAACAAAGTGAGAGAACAATAATTTTTGTAGTGCCGAAGAAAGAAATACTAAAGACCGCAACACAAGGACCAGCTGACGGCCAGGAGTGGACAGGATACTCTGCTTTATTTTCGTCCTTTCGGCCAAAGCATGAAATTAAGTGCAGATTATCAGAAGATTATATTTTAATAGCATTTCAAGCTGTTGCCTTTCTTGGACCCAAAGGAAGTGGAAATCTGACCCTACAACAACCACAAATACTTTGTGGCAGTGCCCTCTGCGTCCGTGTGTGCCTGCGTGTGTGTGTGTGTGCTACAAGTGCGGCTTATTACATGATTACTGCCTCGTACAAGGGAAAATATACGTATCTAATGCAAACACACAAAATACATACATGAAAGAAAGCGTGCAAGAAATTGAAATTAAAAGAGGAATTAAGTGTCGCGTGTGTTGTCTCCGTGTGTGTGTTTAATCTATATAGTGTCCTGTTCCTGTGTACTTGAGGCAAATATTGAGCCTCGTGGACTTTCGTGGAGCAACAGGTATGTGTGCACCAGATTTTCTCTTAATTTATGATCCCAAAAATTCTATTAGATGTTTTGCGGTTTTTCCTGGTGAGGAAAATTAGGAAAATACTGGCAAATATTTCATTGTGTGCTCTTTGAGGTATTTTTGCGATTTGACAAATTTTCGTATGAATTTTAATGTCATTCGACACCACAAATGTGTGTTTTTTTTTGTATTTGTGGTTCTTGGAAATTAAACTTTAATGTGAACACATTTTCTGCTTCCATGTAGAATGTTTTTAAATTTATTTAATTTATTTTTAATGAGCTACATTGAGTTTAATCAGTGTTTGGTTGATTTGTCAGCAGTAAAATCTGAAATGTGATTAGAAATAAATCTATGAAATATATAAATTTAGATGAAATAAATTTGCAAGCTTTTAAATAAAGCAATAAATACCAATTTTAGTACATTTTTAATTTGTTTAATAGAAAAAGCAGGGAAAACATAGTAACAAAATCTTAAAAAATGTAGTATTTTTTTGTTAAATATTAAATTCCATTCAATTGATTACTTTAAGGTTTGTTCTTCCGGACTTCAAAGAAATATAAACCGAAAAAATATGAAGAGCGAATGCTTGAAAATCCCCTAATGTTCTCCAAGCTCCTCAGATTTGAATAAAAGTTGATATTTTCCTTGGAATTTCCCAATAAGAGTCCATTTAAGTACCCATTTTTAAGTAGTGCTCAGAACATTCCAGGAAAACACTAGTGGAATCACGCTCGAACTCAAGTGACCTGCGTTCCTAGGGGCTTCATCGAAATGGTCTCCATGGTTTAATGGCCGGCTTTTTCGCATTAAAATAAACATAAAACTTGGAGAATCTAACCATTTAAAACACACGCTTTGGCCGAAATTTTTGCCGCAATCTGCAAGTCATTTGGTGGGGGAGGGAAAACCCTTAAGCACAGATCCACCAGCAAATGCTATCCTCTGCAGTTTTTGGCTGTTAATTAATGCCCGCCGAGGCGCGTATCCGCTGCAGCATATTTAAAAACGCATTAGCTCTTAGTCCCCCAAAAGGGGAAACAGCATCCTTTCAGCAGCAGCAGCAGCAGCCGCCGACTGCCATAATTCCAACCGAGGCATTAGGGTCGCCCAAAGAACATTTCTCATATGCACGGGCAGAGGAAATTCTTATAATCACTTTAAAGGCATACGCAGGGGCTTACATTTCAGAGAATGGTGGCACGCTCTCGTAATGCCATTCATTTTGGGTCGGCGTCCTGGGCGTCCTGGGGGTCCTGGCGGTCCTGGGGTCCGGCATGTGTTGCTAATTTCATTCCATGGAAGCTCCATGGGTGGAAAATTGTGGGTGTGAAGCAATTGCTGCTTGCCATTAAGTCGGAGAGTCACAGAATGAAACTTTGCTTCACGTCCAGGCCAGGCACAAAAAGGACCAAAAGGAACCCAAGGATCTGCTTTGACTCTGACTCCGACTCTGACTCTGACTCCGACTCCCACCTGCAGTAGCCGTAATGGTGATGATGCCTGCCTCCTGCTGCCTCCTGCTGGCTCCTGCTGTCCATTGTTGTTCGTTGTTTTAATGTTATTTGCCTGGATCTGGTGGTCTGGCAGGGCCATCGTCTTTGTCTCGTTTCATTCAGCCTTGCCTCGGCGTTGGCCCAGCCTTGGCGTGTGACTGCGGTGTGACCGCCGTTGTGGTGGCGGTGGCGGCGGCAGCGGCAGGTCCTTGGTTTTGGTAGCTCGACTCGACTGACCCTAAGCCGGCTCTTCTGTTGTCGCATTGCGTGGCTGCCTCTACCTGTGGCCTTACCTGACAAAACTTGAACACAAAAATTTCATTTAAAAGTTTCGCATCGCCGTCCCGCCGTCCCGCTGTCTTGTGCTTCTCCATTTGGACCCTCGCCAGATGCTTAAAACTTTCTCCTGGATCAACAGCAACAAGAGGAGGCTGCAGGATGGCAGGACTTTCTTTTATGGCAACTTTAGCAAATGGACATTGAGGTTGTTGTATGACTTTGGGTATTTTTCCCGTCATAAATATCGCTGGCAATTTCAGACCATCCTGAATGACTGAAGGCCTTCCTCTCTGGTGACACTCTATTAGCATTAGCCAGGTCCACGTCCAGGTCCTTCGGGCTAGTCATTTGCCTGCTGCTGTTGCTGTTGCGGACACTTTTGAGTATGTCCCTTCCTTGAAGTTGTGGAATTTCGCTCTGAAAGGATGTCACAAATTGTGCGGGGACGCAGATCAAAGTTTTTGCCTCAAGCTAAAGCAAAAATATGCTTGCTCTTTGGCTGGTTATAATTTCTGGAATTTATTCAGGCCATCAGTATAATGATTTGCACTTCCGGGGCAAGAATAGGGAATTGTAGAGGATTGCAGAGATATTTAAGTGATGTATCTGGTTTTTTGCAGATACCGCGTATCACAGTCTCCAAAACGTTTCCAAAAATTGTTTATTGCATTGCTCTTTTTTTGGCAGCCCTTCTGTTTGCCGGTTTCCGTAATTGGTTTTTCGGTTTCTGCCAAATAAACAGTAAATATTTTAGCTGATTGTTAAACCCTGTTTTTCCTCCACTGTGGCACTTGTTTTGCCACTCAGCTGTATTAAATGCGAATATTTATTCAACATCTGTTGTATCTATTGTTCGTTTTTGCTGCTTAACTAATTAAATTGCTTAATTGCATAAATTAAAGCCCCCCCCCCTCTCCTCCCTCCTCCCTGTGCATTTGTTTCACATCGAAAGTTGAGTAAATATATCTAGAATTTTTTTTAGGCATTTAAATAGAAAACAAATTCCCAATAATTGTATTAAAATAATTTAATTTTTTGGTGTTATATTCACTAACGAAAATTGTATTAAATTTTAAGGGACTCCCCAAAAATTCAATTTGTTTTTCTTTATTTGATTTTCGATGTTTTTGATTTGCCTTCTCTTTCAAAGATGGTCCTTGGTCTCTTTTTCCTTCCGCCTGAAATTCCCAACACCTTTCTTCTGCTCTGTGAAATCCTTGAACCCATAACTAATCGGTTTATTTTGGCTGAGAAATGATTTTGATTCCATTTTGAATTAAACTTTGGCAATATTTTCCCTAGTTTATGTTTTATTATCGAGTGAAGGGTTTTTGAAGTAAATGAAAAGCAAAATCATGGGAATCCCTCTCAGGGAAAAGCAAAGCCAAAGCCGCTTTGGCCCCTGTTTTCCCCCCATCAACAATTAATCAAAGATGAATTTTAAAGCAAATCGCTTTCAATGTTTATTGACTGCCAAGCGACTAGCCCTGGCTGTCTGGGGTACAATTGTAAAAGGACACCCTGGGAAGCACTTGACGGGAGAGACAGAGAGAGTGGGTGAGAAAGAGCAGCCTTTAAAGCAGTGCCGCAGCTTCATGACGCAGTAAACACTTATTAGATGTCACAGGCAAGAGGCAGGAGGCAAGAGGCAAGAGGCAGGAGGCAGGAGGCAGGAGGCCAGGCTCAGTTCTCGTCACGATAGATGGATAGGGACCCGAGGCAATGGAGCGTGCTGCTAAGGAGTATTCAACTAATAAAAATGTCAAAACGCATGAAGTTGATGACAAGTAACGCAGAATGACAGCACAGTCAGCAGCCAGGACTAACAGGACGCGCAAAAGGATCCTTGGAGCAGAGAGAGAGGGAGAAACAACTTGAATTCAAAGCTTGTCGGTTGTCGCTTGTCGCTTGTCGGATGCGGGCCTTCGATGTCCCAGTGCGGGCAGCAATTTGCCGCACCTGCTGTGTGCTCGAGTCTCTATATGTGTGTGGCGGGGCCTTGGTGGGGGGAGGGGCACCTCCTACTGCTATCCTAGCTTTTCCCTGGCTAAACTTTCACAATTAAAACTTGGCACTTTTCCTCGGTCTCTGCGCACGCACGCATCGCCTCAGCATCGCCCTTGGAACGCTCCCCCGCTGTTTGTTTATTGGATTAAGTAGATTTATCCTATCAAATGGCAGAAGCTGTCTAAATTTATCCACACGAGGATCCCCCCGCGCTCCCCTTTGGCTCTCTCTCTCTTTTTAATTACACAGTTTTTTTCCAGTAAGCTCACGTACCAAAAATGGCAGAAGAAAATGCGTTTGCCGGCGCACAACAAAAAGTTTTCGTTTGCTACGTGTCCTGCCAGCAGGCATTTTCAATAAATTTTTCCTATGCCAACGGAATTCATAAAACGCCTGAAAAACTTGGCCTTCGCCGCAAGAAAAGGTCAAAAGATTGAAGTCGATTCGAGGCGATTGTCTGCAAATAAATATTTCAGAATTTTGAAGCAAAAGATTTAGTTTTTAAAAAATATTAAAATCTCAACAGCCAAACGGGAAATCCTTTCCAAGAAATTTCTATTCGATTTCAAAGGGAATACCATTATTTGTATGAAAAGTATAGATCTATACAATTAAGGATGCCCTAAATATATATCCTATGAAATTTAAAAGCAATTTCCAATTGAATTCCCGCCTCTCATATTCATTTGAGTGCGCCGCGCCTTTTACTATTTCTGAAAAGAGCTGACGACGAACTAGTTTGGCTTTCATCTGGCGCGGTCACACGACATCAAAAGCACCCAGGACACGCGGCGTATGCGTCATATTAAGTATACGCCCACGAGAGGCAAGCTCCTGGCTCCATTCTCCATCTCCATCTGTTATTTAAACAGAACAATTAAAAACGATTTTCCCAAGCACACTCTGTCTCTCTCTCTCTCTCTTTCTGAGTCGAAAAAACCCCACTCGCCGGCAGTTGTTGCTTTTGTGTTTGTAGACATAACATTCGGCAACGAGGAGAAACAAATTGAATGAACACGCGCCCCGAAAAGCGTTTAATAAACACAAAAGAAGCACCAGGAACAGAAACAGAAACAGAAACACCACTAGACACAGACACAGATACAGATACAGATAGAGATAGAGACACAGATACAGATACAGATAGAGACACAGCCTAGGCCCGAGAGTGAGTCTCGACTGTGACTGAAGCTGTACGGCCAGGC